ATCACGAATTGACCTTGTTTTGAAAAGATTTTCGAATCTGACCTTTTCCGGTCACGCCAACATCTTTGGCGTCTGGTTTGCACGGCAAACGCCAGGGTCCGTGGCGTTTGGCCTTGGCCCACACTTGCCTGGTCGGCGCTGATGTGGCGATGTGGAGACGCCATCCATCTTGGCGTTTGGGGAAGACGCCATAGCTCTTGGCGTTTGGTCCTACTCAATCACTTAAACCAAAAAAGCTACATGCACCATTACTGGAGTTGCTTCTATAAACAATTCTCTTAATTAATTACTCCCATAATTAAAAGCCTGTTAACCATCATTGCAAAACAAATCAACCCGTACCTAAATGCAACCAATGGCGACAATTTTTCTGTACGGATCGACTTTGGATGAGCCGTGAGGGTGAGATGGAGCAGATTTCTAGGAGATTAATATGGTGATCCGGTTTTAAATTAATTAATCGCATGATGATTTACTTTTCTGCAATATCTGCGGTTGTTAGCCTATTATAAGGGCATCTCCAACGCTGACCCTCAAATCTTCCGCAACCGTCTGGACCGTGCTGTTCGGACAAAGAATTCATCCAACATGGTCCTGTATCGGTCCACGGCGTGGTCCCGATGCTTTTTCTTTCGCAAACCAGAGAAAAAATGTGGGGGAGCTTTCCGGGAGTCGGGACTGCTGTCACGCCCGCTTCTGACATCCCTGGCCCACCCAAACCCTCCTCCCTCACCAGTGCACGCTTCCCGCTCGAAACGGTCAGCGTGGATCCAGAGCGTCAGTGTCCGCATTCATGAGGACCAGAGCGGACGCGGCCACTCATTGGCGCCATCATTGAAGCAGCGCGCCGACCGAAAGAGCGCCGCTCGCACCGCTTCCCGGTGCTGGCGTATGTTCCATGTTCAAACGACACGACGGCAGCCGGTCCGTCCGTCTGCCGCCCACATTGACGGTGCCTCCCTCAAACGCCCGGACTGACCGGCACCCCTCATATCCAGGCCAAATATGGGACGGATATGGAGACGTCTAGGCATGCCCGCCACGTCGGACCCGGCCCACGCTGGCGCACCCGACCCCCAATTCCTCCCTATCCGCTCGCCGAAACAAAACCTAGCCACTTCACTCCCCTTCCCTCCACTCTGCTCTGCCAGCCAAGTTCGTCTCCGACTGCTTCCGACCGTCTCTGGCATGGCAGGCAGCGAATCTGAGTCCTTCACCTCCAGATCCGTCGACTCCGAGTTTATCTCACGCGGCCCCGAGGAGGAGATGGCCGTCCGACTTGCACTCCGCCGCGCCTGGGAGGAGGCCCGTGCACGGCAGCGGTCGGACTCTGTGGATGTGGAGTGCATTTCTTAAGGCATGACCGGTCACTGTCCACGGACGCGCCTAGACGCGTTCGCGGATGTTTGAGGGGTCCGATTTGCCAAATCCGGTTGTAGATGCTCTAACAAACCTACACAGAGGAGTATTTCATTTGTTGTCTAGACATGCCTACCCCAAGACCAAGGTATTTTGTTTGAATCCTGAATTTCGATTTTTTTTTTGACATTGTCTCTCGTTTTGCTAAACATAGCCAGATGGGTATGTGTGAAGACTACGTTTGTGTGTTCTAGCAGCTTGCAAATTCTCGTGAAGAAAAAAACAAGTGGTGATTTGGTCAAGAGATCATCTCATATACTGTAACTGTAATCCCTTAAATTCAAGGCAGATCTCTTGATTTTCTTCTCCTTTTCTTTTTGCGTGCATGATACCAAATCAGGATGAGGTAAACATACATGCTAGCTCTAGCATGGGCTGGGCTATCAATCAGGCCATTAATTACGGAGTTAATCAAGAGAATTTTTTATAGAAGCAATTTCATTAATGGTGCATGTAGCCTTTCTTTTTCTTTGTTTAAGTGATGGAGTAGGACCAAACGCCAAGGGCTATGGCGTTTCCCCCAAACGCCAAGCGTCTCCGCATCGCCACATCAGCACCAACTAGGCAAGTGTGGGCCAGGGCCAAACGCCACGCATTCTGGCATCTACCGTGCAAACCAGACGCCAAAGATGTTAGCGTGACCAAAAAAGGTCAGATTCAAAAATCTTTTTAAAACGAAGTCAATTCGTGATTAAGTTTACAGAAAAGGTCAAAACAGAAATTTTGTCCTCCATCGGCACACCGGGGCCGATGATACTGTAGTTCAGGTACGGCGCACGTCCCAGGCTTAATTGGACGGTCGCGTCGCGACGCCTGCGGGCCGATGATGCCGCAGCGTACCAAGGCGTGCGCGCCATCAGCGGATCATAGTATTCGTTCGGTATTGTACATACACCGTACGTAGCCGCTGGGTGAATGGCTGTGCGTGCACGCGTCGGGCTTTGGGAGGGGGCTCCGGGCTGTGGGCGGCGCCGGTGTGCCTGGCACAGCGGCATCTGCAGCCTTTGGGTTCGGGTGTCTCCTCGCAGGCGGGCAGCCTCCTGACTCCACTTTTTGACGGGTCGCCGATCCTGGGGCGGCCTACCTGGCTCGCTGCCGCTTTTGAAGTCTGGTCTGGGGTATGACATGACATGATGGCTGCTGCCTGCCTGCCTGCCTGCCTGCCTGCACAAGCTCAGCCTCTTCGACCTCTGTACATTCGATCGTATCGTATAGCAGTCTGGAGTAGCAGCTACTGTACATACTAGAAGTACTCCGTTTCATTTGCAAGACCACACGTTGTTTGGACCGGGAAATTCAAGGATTTCAGGCAACTTATTCGCCAAAAAAATTAAGGATTTCAGGCAACTTCTTGAAACGGGCCAGACTTCTCTCGTTCTAGACGACAAGAAACCGAGAGAAACTCCAAACGAGTTTCCGAGCGAATCGTCAAAAGGGAGGAACGCCACGAACTTCATGTGGCGCCATTCTCCTGCCGCTGGGAATGTTCCTCGCATGAATCGTATAACAGATAATGAGCACGAGATTTATTTCCCATCATTGGACGAATGGACGGATGGCCGGAGGCGGCAGCAGGCTGCCCAGCAGCTTCCCGGCTTGAGAAACGGGGTTTTGAGCAGCAGCAGCTGGTTTGCAAGACCCCCACGAACGAATTCGCATCATTTCGGGCAGATAACAATTCTTTTGCCTCCCGTCTTGGTTCCTGGATCACCCTGAAGAGAAGAAAACTAGTGAGTGATTCCCCAAAAGGCATCTTAGAAAGTGCAAAAGGAAAATGTTGCCATTGAGGCAGAGGATTAAACAAAGAGCAAGCCTGCAAGTGCAATGAACATGCTGCATGCTGTCCTTTTTGTCTTGCTTGTGCTGGATATGGTTGAGGCTAAATGTTGCTACGTGCACTCGATTGGAAGGGATGGGTGGACATAATGATATCCCTTTGTTAGAACCTGCGTCATGCTTGGTTAATTAGCTACTCAAGTGGAGTAACTTTGACCCGACTATGGCTAACCAGAGCTGTTAGTTTGCTCACTAATTTCTGAATGTTGATTAGTCTCTCTGTAAAAGTATTTAGCATTCATGAATCTTAAGTTATGGCGCAGTTTTTTGTAAGAGTGAGCACGCTTCAACAAACTTTGCATATGGACGGACTTAATATGAGGGCAGTCTCAGTGCTTCATCTTGTACTATATGTTAATCATGACATCTAAGTAAAAAATATCTAATGTGGCACCCTATTTATAATAAGGAAATACGAGAGTTATCATATTTTAATTTAGATGTATCTCTTAGCACCAAAACCAAAACAACTCATACTTTTCCTCTCACAGAATGTATGTATCAATCTCAAACCTTGAAATTGATGTATGCTCCAATGAATATGTATCACATAATGAGTACAAAACAAATTAAATGTGATTATTTTTTGATATGATACAATTTGGAGGAGCTATATCTAAATTCTACATATTTAATGCATTTGATATAGCTTTACTCCAATGAATATGTGTTTATATAAGCTCCTATAATGAATTGTATTTATATCATATTCACCAACTATGGGTTAAACATGTACTCCCTTCGTCTCATAATGTAGACATTTTTTGACACTAGTGTAGTGTCAAAAAAGTCTTACATTATGGGACGGAGGGTGTATTTATATATAGCAAAAATAGCCGGTGAAACCTAGGTCTAGGCGCACCCTAATTGAACAAAATATTTTTAAAATATAGAAATGTCAAGCAATTCCAAAAAAATGTAACAAATATGATCTAGTGTTATACCCACATGTAAAGTTTTGCCAAGAAATGACTTCAGTGTTCTTCTATGCGAAAAAAACCCGGTTCTATATAAGAACTACCATTCAATTTTGTTGAAGTTGCTACATTATTTTTTGCCTAGAAGAACACCCAAGTTATTTCTTTGTGAAACTTCAAAAGTAAGTAGAAAATTAGACCATGTTCATCACAAAAGGGTTTCATAATTGTTTGGATTTGTTCGATATCTTTTAGAATTAAAATGCTATATATACAGTGCGCCTAGAACTAATGAATCATATCTTATGTAGTATATTTTTGCAGGCACTAATGTTGTATATCATAGGAAATTAGAAATCAAATATGTATCTAGATATATTATATATTATTATAGTAAATGCATTGAGAGTGCCATGACGACAAAAATAGAGCATGTCTTTTTGAATTTGACAAATTTTAGAACACATTTGTCATAAAAATGTTGGATGCCTTTCTCTTTGACATTAGTACCCCTCGATTCGACCCCGGTGTGCCATATGTTGCTGATTTCATTATCACACACATACTCCATGTCAAAAGAATGATCAAATGTGCAACCATGCATGTACCCGTTGCGTACTCATTTCGGCACACCATGCACCAAGGCAGATGCCCCCACTCCAAAACAGCTCTATATATGCACGAGACATGCCGGGCCGACCCAAGCCACCCTTCATCATAGCTGTCTCAGAGCCAAACAAGACAGAGCCACCACGCGCCTCCCCTTGGCCCCCGGCACGCACCAAGCAGAGCAGAGCAGCCGCCGGCGAAGAGGAGAGGAAGGCGGCAATGGGGAACAGCCTGCGGTGCTGCCTGGCGTGCATGCTCCCCTGCGGCGCGCTGGACGTCGTCCGCGTGGTGCACCTCAGCGGCCACGTCGACGAGTTCACCTGCCCGCTCATCGCCTCCGACGTGCTGGCCGCGCACCCCAGCCACGCGCTGACCGCCGCGGGCTCCGCCGGCGCCGCCAGGAGGATCGTCATCGTGTCGCCCGACTCCGAGCTCAAGCGCGGCCGCATCTACTTCCTCATCCCCACGGCGTGCTCCGCGCCGGCGGCCGAGCTGAAGCGGCCCAAGCAGCAGCAGCAGCAGCAGGGCCACGGCGCCTGCCAGTCCAAGACGAAGAGGCGCCACGGCCACGGCCACCGCAAGGGCGGCACGGCGGTGGCCGCCGCGGCGAGCACGGCGGAGCAGGACAACTACCTGCGGGAGCTCCTGTCCGAGAAGCGGGAGCCGGGCCACCGGCGGCGGCGCAGCAGCAGCGCCCGCGCCGGCGTGTGGCGGCCGCGGCTCGAGAGCATAGCGGAAGAGCCCTCCGACTAGCAAGTAGACTGATTTGCCATTTCTTTTGCCTCTCTTCTGCTTTCGTTTTCGATCTTCCGCTGTGAATATGATTGATCGATTGCTGAGGAGCGTTTTGTCTCTCCGTCAAGCTTAATCTCCTTAATCCTGATGCAAAGTGTAAGGATGCTCATTCATTTAGGCTCCGAAGTCGACTGGGAAAAGAAAAGATCGCAAGATCTAAAGTTTGTACAAACAGAATTTGGTCTGGGTTCGTTGATTTGTTTATTCACGCGCTGTTCCATACTGTTTACACTTGTTTGTTTTGGGTGCTGGGCTAGTGACCCAACAGGGTCTAAAACAGATTTACTCTGAAGAACTAGCTGCCCAACTCGACACCACGCCGAGAGAGATCCGACCGTCGGGCGCCGCTCGAAGGCTCCTGGACGGGACGATGCTCGGACTCGACATAACGACAAGAGCAACGGCAGACAAACCTCGACATGGCCCTACAACGCTAAACAGGGTACTCGGCCCTCTTTCCGACTCGAGCACTATTTTGACATACAAATTCAATAAAATTCTAGCTGCAGTTTGATTTCACCGAGATCTCAAATTGTATTTATTAATTATTATACTTGCAATGTGAGATACAATTCACTCAAAACCGATGTTATATTCCACACATATTTCGGATATATTTTCACACCATCGCATTGTATTCCATGTTCAGTTCACACAATTTTAGAAACATTGCAGAGACGTTTCACTCATATTTCACACGCGATTCCAATCCATTTTCATTGCAATACACAAATGTTTCACACATGCTGAACAAATTTGAACTAAAACCATGACACTCATTTTGAGACGGAGGGAGTACTTCAAAATATGTTGATCCATTCGAATATCATAACCATTCCAGGAATATTTCATACACATTTAACGAAAATTCAAACACATAATAACGTTCAAATAAGTTCGAAGCACATGCTCCGGTGCAACTTTAGAAAGGTTTTACATAACTAGAGGACCATTCCACAACATTTTTAAAAATTGCCAGTAAAAAACTATGCTTGTAATGCCACTATTACACAATAATTTTAGTTTTTTGAGTTTTACCAAGAACTAAAATAAGTCAAAATATCAAATTGGTTTTGTTCTACTCCTTACCGTGGGGAAAACCCCCGCAACTCAACCAAACAAAGTTTATTAAAGGTGTACAAGAGTCTAAACTAGAAAACAGAAACAGATACAATATGTTCCAAGCACATGCTCCGGTGCAACTTTAGAAAAGTTTTGCATAACTAGAAGACCATTCCACAAAATAAAAATAAAAATTGCAATTAAAAAGCTATACTTTTAATGCAACTATTACACAATAATTTTAGTTTTTTCAGTTTTACCAAGAACTAAAATAAGTAAAAATATCTATTTGGTTTTGTTTTACTCCTTACCGTGGGGAAAACCCCCACAATTCAACCAGAACAAACTTTCTTAAAGGTGTACAAGTGTCTAAACTAGAAAACAAAAAAAGACAAAATATCAAACTGGTATTGTAATGCAATTTTTGGATAAATACAACTCCAATGCATATTTTCATACAACTTTAGCTGTGATTAAATAAATTTGATTTTAAGTCACAATTTAGTTGTTTCCAATTAATATTCATTAAATTTAAATTATCTTTCACTCAAGCCCAACCACGATTCACTAAGTTTGAAATACATTTCAACAAAGTTTCAGCAATGGTTCATGAACTATAGTTGAATTCCTTAGATAATTTTTGTGAAACTAAAATTGCATTAACAATTTTATCCAAATTCAGTCACGTTTCATATGATTTTACTACCGTTTGAACAAATTCCAATAACATCCCAGCCTTATTCGACACAAGTTACCCTCATATTCCAATCTAGTTTTACAATCATTCTAAGTGTAGTTCGACAAACATTTCAATCATTATTTAACATTAAAAAAACCCTTTTGACTAATTTCTCACACAAATTTCAGAAAACCCATTTTTGTGGTGGATGCATCAATAGGTGATATTGCATGCATGTAGTTGCAGTAGGCATCGCGAGCAAGTATAGTACTTGCCGGACTTAGTTTGGTGTCCTAATAGTCCATGACGATGGCGTGAACTTGCACCTTCTATTTCTTCAGGCATTGGAGGTCGGGTTCGAACTTGTTGCAACAATGCTAGGAGAGACCCTATGCACGACGATAATTGCGCAATTGGTGATCGTGTCACAAACCTCTTTGGGTGGGTCGTGCAGCAGGCGATACTAGCTCCCCACGTGCGATTGGCACCTCGCCCAATGACACATCATTCCTTTGAACACCGCTCAACTTAGAATCCAACTACACATCATGATGAATTGAAGACAGTTGAGTGGCTTGGTCAATGGTTATTGGCACATCCGCACATGCGACTCCACGGGAGCACGGATCTCTGGCTTGACGCCACAGAGGAAATGCGACAATAAGAAGTGGTCATCGTAGCCACCTCAAACAATAATTCCTCAAATTGCTTACAATATTCATCCATAGTCACGTTGTTTGAAATGAAACATCACATTCATTTGCTTGTGAGTAGTGTTAGAACCGAACTTGTGCACACATGCAACTCCAAGGTCTCATCTGTGGCTTTGTACGTTTGGAGCGAGAGAGCAACCTTCCCATCTAGACACAAGCCAAAGAGATGGGTGTATGTTGAAGACACAAAAATAATCGAATCACGTGTCCCTCTACACATGTGGTTGCTTGTCATCCAAGTAAGGGAAGTATAATACATCGCCATTCAAGTTGTGTCATTCTGCTCCATTTTACCTCTGTCACACGATGAACCCCACCTCCATCACATAGAGACAATACACCACTGTGAAAACCCTCATCGAGACCCTACACGGTTGGTTAGGCCCATGGTGTGTTGCAATGCTAGTTGGGCACCTCATGCAAATCCTGCAACCCCTTCCCCATCACAGGGCGAATGTTAGGATCAAGATAATTAATCCTTCATGTTGGATCACTCCAGCCACATATTCATAAGCTCGCCCACTACGCCGCCAAGTCATGGAAGTGGTGTGCAACCCCATCATGGGATGGCTTCTCTGGATGACATGTGCGATGAGAGCTAAGTTATTTCTATGCAATGTTGGTGTTGTCCACCTACGACTACAAATGCTCGAAGTCATCTAAGAATTGCAACATTTCCTCTTTGGTAAGTGTTGTGGCCTCACACACCTTCAATAATTGGGTCTATAGTGATGGTTTGGGGGGGCACCATGCAAACGAACAGACAAAGAGTGAGGAATTACTGGATCTGAGCTTCTCAGGTGTGATTGTATGGTCCGCATGCTTGAAATGCATGAAAGGTTATATACAAACATTATAACATATCACATAGCTGTTGGGGAACGTAGTAATTTCAAAAAAATTCCTACGCACACGCAAGATCATGGTGATGCATAGCAACGAGAGGGAAGAGTGTTGTCCACGTACCCTCGTAGACCGAAAGCGGAAGCGTTAGAACAACGCGGTTGATGTAGTCGTACGTCTTCACGGCTCGACCGATTAAGCACCGAAACTACGGCACCTTCGAGTTCTAGCACACGTTCAGCTCGATGATGATCCTTGGACTCCGATCCAGCAGGGTGTCGGGGAAGAGTTCCGTCAGCACGATGGCGTGGTGACAATCTTGATGTTCTACCGTCGCAGGGCTTCGCCTAAGCACCGCTACAATATTATCGAGGACTATGGTGGAGGGGGGCACCGCACACGGCTAAGAGATCAAGAGATCAATTGTTGTGTCTAGAGGTGCCCCCCTGCCCCCGTATATAAAGGAGCCAAGGGGGAGGGGGCGGTCGGCGAAGGAGGGCGCGCCAAGGGGGAGTCCTACTCCCACCGGGAGTAGGACTCCCTTCTTTCCTAGTTGGAGAAGGAGAAGGGGGGAAGGAGGAGGGAGAGGGGAAGGAAAGGGGGGCGGGGCGCCGCCCCCCTCTCCTTGTCCTATTCGGACTAGGGGGAGGGGGCACGACCAGCCCTTGCCTCCACCCTTCCTCTCCACTAGGGCCCATGCAGGCCCATTAAGCCCCCTGGGGGGTTCCGGTATCCCCATTTCACCCGGAACAATTCCGATATCCGAATATAGGCTTACAATATATCAATCTGTTGGGGAACGTTGCAGAAAACAAAAATTTTCCTACTCGTTTCACCAAGATCATCTAGGAGTTCATCTAGCAACGAGTGAATAGATGCATCTACATACCTTGTAGATCGCGAGCGGAAGCGTTCAAAGAACGGGGATGATGTAGTCGAACACGACGTGATTCGAATCACCGGAGATCCTAGCACCGAACGGACGGCACCTCCGCGTTCAACACACGTACGGAACAGCCACGTCTCCTCCTTCTTGATCCAGCAAGGGAGGGAGGAGAGGTTGAGGGAGATGGCACCAGCAGCAGCACGACGGCGTGGTGTTGATGGAGCTGCAGTACTCCGGCAGAGCTTCGCTAAGCGCTATGGAGTTGGAGGAGGTGTTGGGGAGGGAGAAGGAGGCAACCAAAGGCCAAGGACTCAAGGTATGAAGTCCCTCCTCTCCCCCACTATATATAGGGGTGCCAAAGGGGGGTGGTGCGCAGCCTAGGAGATCCAATCTCCTATGGCCGGCGGCCAAGGGGAGGTTTCCCTCCCCTCCAAGGCACCTAGGAGGTGCCTTCCACTAGTAGGACTCCTCCCCCTTGGAAACCCTAGGCGCATGGGCCTAGTGGGGCTGGTGCCCTTGGCCCAAGCAGGCCAAGGCGCACCCCCTACAGCCCATGTGGCCCCCGGGGATGGGTGGCCCCACCCGGTGGGCCCCCGGGACCCCTCCGGTGGTCCCGGTACAATACCGATAACCCCGAAACTTGTCCCGATGCCCGAAACAGGACTTCCCATATATAAATCTTTACCTCCGGACCATTCCGGAACTCCTCGTGACGTCCGGGATCTCATCCGGGACTCCGAACAACATTCGGGTTACTGCATATACATATCCCTAC